GTTTGTAGGAGATACGCGAGTTCAAACAGCATGCATCTAGTGACACCTTTATTGACACTGAGGCACACAAATTGGCGACGAATAATATGTGCTTTGTCACTGCGGTGAATGCTGCTAAATATCAGTCTGGCATATCATTGCTAAAGGTAAGATATGACAAATCTTAGTTACTGTACCGTAAAACTGTGATAACAGTTGACGATGATGACCAACAACAACAACATTGACATTGCGTTGAACTAATGTCATGGATGATCTGAAATGATGGCCTGGATTTCGTCGAAAACTTGGGCAGAAATATTTGCAGGCACAGAAATTTTGAAACGCAAAAGATAGCATGAAGCTTCCCCATCATTTTCCCACCAGGTGAAGACCAATACTTTGAGTGAATTCCAAAAATGTAGATTAGGAAGAGAAGGGTCAATAACCCTTTGCGAATCTCATATCTGATGCAAAACTTAAGAGTTGTAAAGATGAAACAATAACTTATAACAAACAAAGCTTAACTTGCAACTTACAAACAATATATTTTGCGAATACCTGCACTGAACGATGTGTATGAATAATAAACTTTTTATACAACATGTTCTCTACATTCTAACCTTGATATTCTTTTGTGAAAGCAGACCACGAGCAAAGTTTCAGTCTTCTGTTGAGGCTAAATACAGCGGTATGTACACACCCAAAACACTCCATCAGCTGCAATGGCTTTTCACGGACCTCGAAAGCTGTTACCAAAATACCCATGTGCAAGTTTTAAAGAATATTTTCTAACTTTTAGCAAATTTCCGTTGCGAGGAGAACACTCTGATTGCAAGCCAGGGTCACAGACGGTACTAATACACAAACTATGTATGAAGTAATCTTTTAATCAGGCCGCTTCTCCATTGAACGAGCAGTGGCAAATCATCCGAGTGAAAAATGGATGATTTGGACGAAGTTCGACGGCTCATATCAGACAACGGAAAGCAAATATTACTGGTCAGAAACACCGGCGTTTTCTTATATTTTGTCTCAGCGGAGAGGGAGTACAATTCGGCCCTAACGCGCAGGGCATAGCGGGAACAGTAAAGAAGCTGTCATGTTAGTTGTAAATTTTGGACATTGAAACAAACGCGTTCAAACAAGTCCTGTCTTCATGCAGTTACAATAATGGGTCAGCTGGCTGTTTTGGTGATATGAAATATGTTTGGTGTAAAGTTGTCTCAATAATGGTTTATTCTACTTTTCACCTACTGCGTTACCATCTACTCATGGCAACGATCATATAAGTCATTGAAGAAGAAGTCAATCAGCCACAAGGTCTCAACAGTATCTGGTCATCGAACCAAAATGTATAGAGACATATGAGTAATTAAAGCTGAGAAATATCCCGTAACAGAATTGCCTGCTATCATCGTCTGAACAAAGAATAACAATCTCCATGTATAATGTTACAGTGTTCAAATCTATTTCAAAATTCGTAATATGAACATAAATTTTCTCTACATGTTCGCTATGACCATCATCGCTGAATATAATTGAGTGGGAAGAGTGAAGATGCGACTGATAACAGCCCTGCTGAAACATAGCTGATAGCGGTTCTGTACACTGCTCTTATCTCCGACATAAGTTTCAGAACGCACTGTATATTTCAGTGAAAATAATATCAAGAAACTTAGCAAGCAGGTTTCATTAAAAACTGTGCACTGAGCAATTGTCAAACTGCTTTCCGATTCTAAGCTCCAAGATGAGCCGATTTCAACATCGAAAAGAACATTCAAGAAAGATGTACGTAATTATTTATTACTCGTTCCTTCTTTCCTTCCTTCTTTCCTTCCTTCCTCCCTCCCTTCCTTCCTTCCTTCCTTTCTTCCTTCCTTCCTTCCCATGTTAAGTGTTGAAGATGCCTGAACAATTATAGTCTGCCCATTGGCCATCTATTATGTGATTTCGCGACAAACATTCATCTTGCTATTCTTTCCTCTGCAATTCGATCAGTGCTAAATTATGGTAGTTTCGATTTCTCGGTTTGAGAAAGAGCGGCTCAAGTCATTGCCATTATTGTTTTATTTATGGATATTTTTGTACGGATTTAATCAGCCGCCAAATTGGATAAGATGAACTGCAGCCGTACAGAGACTGAAGATGAATTGTACATGAGTCAGTACTGTCGTGTGTTTTTGCAAGTCATGACATAACTTCACCAGAAATCTATGCTGTGCCCATTGCTCGAAGGAAATGTTTTGCTATTTGTTCCTCTGTTGGTAGCAGCGAAGAACAGTCGGATATATTTATTGCTTAAAGAAAGCAACAACTGATAAAAAAACATCTCAATCAGATTCGAAAGCATCAGTTTAAACTATAAAACCTTCCCTCAGAGTACCGCTACATAGTACCATGCTGCCAAGCTGGACGAGATTCGACACCACGTGCATAGCTTGAAAGAAAATCATAATAGTGGCTTTATATTCATGTAAATATCTGCAACTGAATAATAACTGTTCTGTTCAAAATATCTAGTAATATATACGCAAATGTTTCGCTGAAAGTCACATCAAGAAATTAATGAATATTGCTGCTTTACAGTTATTGTAGAAATACACAAAAATGTATTCATCGAGACATGTCGACAACTGTTTAATATGAGAAGTGAACTCATAAGAACTGTAAGCCTTAGCCAGCACTGTTGGCTGCTTCTCTGCCATTACTAAATATAGCTATTACTGTTACAAAATGATAACAGCATAAATCAGTCGAATTGAATGAAAGTTGCAGATACATCAGCACTGATTCACGAGAGTTGGCATCCCGAATGAACTGATGGAAAATCACTCATCAAAAGCATCCAAGAAGAAGGAAAGTCAGAGTCTCCGTTTGCATTTATGTTGTACCTACGACGACGACAAGTCAGATGAAAAATGACTACTGCTGCTGCCAATATATATGGTGATACTCCGTTAATGTATTCCACTGCTTGAAGACTTTGAACAATGCCAAAGTACTTTACGTAATTAATGGACATTAATATACTTCCCTACAGGGTATTTTGGTGTTCATTATGCAACAGCTGATTGATATCATGAAAAAATGGCAAACGCGGTTTAACTGGAGTGCTTTCCCATACAAACGAGCTAATGCCATAAGACCCTACCATGATCCT